TATGTATACTCTTTTGTGTCTCATTCCTTTAGCTCAGCTTTTGATTTATTAGCTCAGCTTGTTGTAAAGGTATTCATGTTGCTGCTTGTGTCAGTAATCCCTTCCTTTGTAGGAATATATCACAATTTATCTTTTTTTTTTTTTTTGTGAGGCAGGGTCTCACTCTATCACCCAGGCTGGAGTATAATGGTGCAATCTCGGCTCACTGCTGCAACCTCCACCCCCCAGGTTCAAGCGATTCTTCTGCCTCAGTCTCCCAAGTAGCTGGGATTATAGGCACCTGCCACCATGCCTAACTAATTTTGTATTTTTAGTAGAGACGGGGTTTCACCACGTTGACCAGGCTGGTTTCGAACTCCTGACCTCAAGTTATCCACCCGCTTCAGCCTCCCAAAGTGCTGGGATTAGAGGGGTGAGCCATCACGCCTGGCCTGTTTTATCTGCTTTCTAATTGATGGATATTTCTGCTCTTATGAATACAGCTGCTATGAATGTTCAAATACAAGTGTTTGGATGTAAGTCTTCATTTCTCTTGGGCACCAATGAGGACTGTTGGGCCATATGGTAAGGATATGCTTATTTGCAAGAAGCTGCCTGTTTTCCAAAATAGCTATACCCTGTAACACGACCACTAGCAAATGTGAGTTCCAGTTGCTCCACATCTGCATTCACACTTAGTGCTGTCAGTCTTTTTACTTTTGGACATTCTAGTGGATGTATAATGGGATCTCATAGTTTTAACTTTTTTTTTTTTTTTTTTTTTTGAGATGGAGTTTCACTTTTGTTGTCCAGGCTGGAGTGCAACGGCGTGATCTCAGCTCACCGCAACCTCCGCCTCCCAGGTTCAAGTGATTCTCCTGCCTCAGCCTCCCAAGTACCTGGGATTACCGGCATGCACCGCCACACCTGGCTAATTTTGTATTTTTAGTAGAGACAGGGTTTTTCCATGTTGGTCAGGCTGGTCTCGAACTCCCGACCTCAAGTCATCTGCTCACCTCAGCCTCCCAAAGTGCTGGGATTACAGGAATTAGCCATCACGCCCGGCAGTTTTAACTTTCATTTCATAATGACTGATGATGTTGATTCTTCTTTGATGTGCTCATTGGCCATTTGAATATTTTTTTTTTTTTTGTGATTCTGATTCAGAATGTTTAGAGATCGTATTTTGAGGAACCCTGCCTTAAAAACACCCATATATATGGCCTCCAGAAAATAACAATGTAAAGTGATGATTTATTTACTTATTTTTTGAGACAGGGTCTTGCTCTGTCACCTAGGCTGAAGTGCAGTGGCAAAATCAGCCCACTGCAACCTCCACTTCCAGGATTAAAGCAATTCTCGTGCCTCAGCCTCCTGAGTAGCTGCAACTACAGGTGCGCACCACCACACCTGGCTAATTTTTGTATTTTTAGTAGCAATGGGGTTTCACCATGTTGGCCCGGCTGGTCTTGAACTCCTGAGCTCAGGTGATCCACCCACCTCAGCCTGGGATTACAGGCGTGAGCCACCACGCCTGGCCTAAAGTGATTATTTAAATGGAAAATCTAAGAGTTCCTCCCCCAACTTTGTGAAAATTTTCAAAAATACACAAAAGTTGAAAAACCAATGATCTACTTAGATCTAACAGTGAACAATTTGTTATACTTGCTCTGCATATGTGTTTAGCAAATTGTTGAACCATTTGAAAGCCACAGACATCCAGATACTTCATCCTTAAATACTTTAGCACTTATCTCCTAAGAGTATTTTTCTGTGTAATTGCAATTCCACCATTATACCTAATAAAATTAGCAATAAATTCATATTCAATCCATATCCTAATTTCTCCAGTTATTCCAGCCTTTTAAACAAACATCCAATCAGAGTTCAAGCCCTTTTACTGATTATCATCTCTTCAGTCTCCTTTATATTTCATTACCCAGTAGATTTTTGTATTGATTTCAAGCAATTTGTATTAAACTTTCTGAACAAAAATTTCAAGAAATCAAAAAATGTAACTGGCCAGGCAGGGTGGCTCATGCCTATACTCCCAGCACTTTGGGAGGCCAAGGTGGGAGGATCCCTTGAGCTCAGGGGTTTGAGACCAGCCTGGGAAACATGGCGTGATCCCATCTCTGCAAAAAAAATTTAAAAATTAAAAAAAAAAATTAGCTGAGTGGGAGGGTGGTGGGTGGGGCTGGGGCTATTCAAGAGGCTGAGGCAGGAGGATTACTTGAGCCCAGGAGGTCAAAACTGTAGTAAGCCATGTGCACCACTGCACCCCAGCCTGGGCAACATGGTAAGACCCTGTCTAAAACAAACAAAAAAAAATGGTAACTCCTATATACCATGTTATTTGGATAACTACGGGTTTATCTGTTACAATCAGCTTGAGATACTATGAGACTAGAATAAAAGGTGCTGGAAATAGGACAGTACTTGCAGTTATCATCCTGCTTCATTCATTTCAGTCCTTTTTGTGATGGACATTTCTGTTGCTCCCTTCTTGCCACTCCCAGCTGAGACCTACCTATCACAAAACTTTATGCCAGGAAGAGCCTTGGACTTAGAATCAAAAAGCTGTCGGCTGACTGTGTCCTATTAGTCACTCAGCATGGCTCAGCTTCCTACTCTGGAAAACAGGCATGATGGTGATAGAATATGGTCCCTTCGAATAACCACAGGATTGCTGTACAAATCAAATGAAATCGTGTGGGTTAACTTATGTTGGGCACAATGAGGCACTTCATTAATTCATTCCACATTCAAGCATCGTCTATGTAGGTCTCTGTGCCAGGGACAGAGATGTGAGAAGGCGGCTGCGAGAGGTCCTGGGAAAAGTTGCCCTGCTTTTAAGAGACACAAGATGGAATGGTTTCTCTTCATATGGATATAGGGCTCAGGTGCTAGTCCAAGATATGGAGCTGGCATGCAACTCAATCACATGAGCTGCTAAGGTCCCTTCAGAGTTTAAGCCCATTTGAGCGTATTTTCTTTTACAGGTGGCCAACAGCATCCAGACAGGTGTGAACAGCATTTGAGACTTGAAGAATCAGTCTCCCAAAGGATCATCAGAGCAGATTTTGATGCTGGCACCAGCCTTTGACTTCTGCTTGGCTGGCTCCATCTCTTGGATCCTTGCTTGACTGACAGCCCAATTCTGTGAGTCTCAATGCCTTGCTTCAGCCTAAACCCTCCAATGCTGGCCATTAGCTTGTTCTGATCCCCAGATATGCCTACAGACCCCAAACCTCTAACACCCTGTTTCTGCTGCTACCTGGAGAACATGCAGGTGTGCTGCCTGCTGACCCTAGAGCCTCCAAGGCCCCACTCACGCATGGCCCCAGTACTACTCTGCTGACAGAACCCTGCCTGCTCTCCCCTACTTAGCCTCTGCCTAGGGAAACCCTTGTTCTCTCAGTTCTCTAACCTTTCCTAACTCCCCTGAGGGAGAAAATGCTTTTTCAAGTAACAGGCAGTACAGAGAAAAGTACTGAGAAAGGGCAACTTTGTATTGCCTTATTTATACCCCAGGAAATTTTAATTATCAACAGTCAAGATATAAAATCATGATGTAGACCGAGGCAGGCAGATCGCTGGGGCTCAGGAGTTGGAGATGAGCTTTGCCAACACGATGAAACCCTGTGTCTTAGACTACAACTAGCCAGGAATGGTGGTGGTACACGCCTGTCGTCCCAGCTACTCAGGGGCCTGAGGTGAAAAGATCGCCTGAGCCCAGCATGTTGATGAGACTGTAGTGAGCCGAGCTTGCGCCACTGCACACCAGCCTGGGCAACAGAGTGAGACCCTGTCTTAAAAAAAGAAAAAAGAAAAAACAAACCCTACAGCATTTATTTGAAAAAAACTTAAAAGGTAGATAACCATTACCTAAAAACCATTTTTGAAAGAAAATCAGTATTACATCAAATAGTTTCTGCTTTTTCAGATACAAAACAGACAAGAATGTGTTTGAAAATATTTAAGTCAGTATAGCATGTGGTAGTGAACTAATGCTGGAGGTTCCTGGCTGTGCTTGCTGGTCTTGCGTTGGGGGCAGGCACTCAACTAGCCCAGGGCAGCAGGTAATTTACCAGTTGAAAGGACGTTTCAATGGTTTCACAACTGGGATAGCCGTAACAGCTGAACACCCACATTAGGTATGTGTGTGTTTTTTTTAGATATGTAATATTTGCTTAGAATTTTAAAGCTAAAAAATCAGTAAATGGGCTGGATGTGGTGGCTCATGCCTGTAATCTCAGCACCTTGGGAGGCTGAGGTGGGAGAATTGCTTGAGCCCAGGAGTTGGAGACCAGCCTGGGCAATAAAGCAAGACTCCATCTCTACAATTTTTTTTTTTTTTTAGATGGGAGTTTTACTCTTGTCGTCCAGGCTGGAGTGCAATGGCGCCATCTCGGCTCACTGCAACCTCTGCCTCCAGGGTTCAAGTGATTCTCCTGCCTCAGTCTCTGGAGTAGCTGGGATTACAGGTATGTGCCACCATGCCCAGCTAATTTTGTTTGGTTTTTTTTTTAGACGAAGTCTCACTCTGTTGCCCAGGCTGGAGTATCTCGGCTCACTGCAGCCTCTGCCTCTGCCTCTTGGGTTCAAATGATTCTCGTGCCTTAAGCCTCCCAAATAGCTGAGACTACAGGTGTGTGCTACCACACCCAGCTACTTTTCTTTTTTTTTTTTTTTTTTTTAGTAGAGATGGGGTTTCACCATGTTGGCCAGGCTGGTCTTGAACTCCTGACCTCAAGTGATCCGCCTGCCTCGGCCTCCCAAAATGCTGATATTACAGACATGAATCACCACACCCGGCCTGTACAAATACTTTTCTTTTCTAATTAGCTGGGCATAGTGGTACGTGCCTATAATTCCAGCACGCTGGGAGGGTGAAGTGGGAAGATCATTTGTGCCCAGGACATTGAGGTTGCAGTGAACTAAGATCATGCCACTGTGCTCTAGCTTGGTGACATAGCAAGACCTTGTATTAAAACAAAACAAAACAAAAACTATAAACATTTAACAATTATAACCAGCATTTATTTGAAAAAACTTAAATGATATACATAACCATTACCTAAAAACCATTTTGAAAGAATTTACTACATCAAATGGCAAAAGTGTTCGTGGAAATTGTAATGCATACTTGGTGATGGCTCAAAAGGCCAATATTGAAAGTTATCACTAAAAATAGATTCTTAAAATGTAACATGGAGGGGAAAGAGGGAACTTGGAAAAGATAAAGGTATATTGGTTTTAGGTCTAATAATCACAGGTAAAGTCTTTGTTTAAAAAACAAGCCTGGCAGGGGTAGGGTGGGGAGGGTTGCTCATGCCTTATACTCCCAGCACTTTGGGAGGCCGAGGTGGGCAGATCACCTGAGGCCAGGAGTTTGAGACCAGCCTGGGCAACATGATGAAACCCTGTCTCTACTAAAAATACAAAAATTAGCCAGGCGTGGTGGTGCACGTCTGTAATCCTAGCTACTTGGGAGGCTGAGGCAGGAGAACTGCTGGAACCCAGGAGGCAGAGGTTGCAGTGAGCTGAGATTGCACCATTGCACTCCAGCCTGGGCAACAAGAGTGAAACTCCATCTCAAAAAAAATAAAATAAAATAAATTTTAAAACGTACCTATTAAAGGAGGCTTTTTTCCTTAGTTTTAGTTGGTGTTGATAAGCTCAGCAAAGGAGCTTTAGGGTAATACTTGATGACAGCAAAATGAAGGAAACCTTACTGAAGGTAAAAACCTAGCAAAACATTCCCCAGAGGAACAAAAGTTTTTTGCAAATACGACATACTTAGTTCTGCTTTCTACCAGTCACTAACACAGAAAGACCAAAAACTGTGTATGAGATAGTGATATTAAGATTTGAGATTTTATTCTAATTCAGTGGCATCAATCATGTAAAGAGCCATGCAGTTGAAGTGGTCCAGTGTGGCATGCAGCCCCGCAGTGACGGTGCACTTCATGCCCTGTTCGTGCTGGGGCAGCCTGTACCACCTAGAAACCACAACTGCAGTAACCACTGATACACAGACCTGTGTTACTTCTACAAGTGTTCCATTCCAACTGTATATATGCTTTAGAGTTCAAAATCTAAGTCCAGATACACTATTAAAATGGGCCAGGTCCCAGACATTCTTCCTCACACCAACCAGTTAGTCCTTTTGATTTTACTCCAAACCCCAATGTATGAAATCCAAAGTGCTTGTAAGGATTTAGAACAGCACAGACTACCAGGAACAAAGCAGATACAAAACATTTCTCAGCAACCAAAAATAAAAGGGAAACGGGCCACTGAGGCAGATGGGTCTCTCAGATTAAATGTCATATAAATTGCATGTGTGGAACCAAATCCAGCAGAAAACCCTCAGTTAATGAGGCATAGCTTGGTAAATTGGGAACTTGATGAGGGTTTTTTTTTTTTTTAATGTAATCTGGTATCACTTAGAATGGCCTTAGTTTCCCATTCTCTCACCACCTTCACACAGGCCCACATGCCTGACATCAAATCTGTCAAACTTGGGGACGAAGGACATTAACAGTTCTTGAAAGGTGACCTTACCCACAGATACTAATTTCATTACTTAAGGAATTTTTCTTCCTCAGAATTTCTAGAATCACAAGTGATACCTGCCAAGTACAGTTTAAGTTACTAGTAGATATACACCTCTTCAATGCAGAAACTTAGTCTCATTATGTTGGTTACATATACTGTTTTTATTTGGGTTTGTTGAATGAGAATAAAAACACCCCGGTTTCTTCTGCAGGTCCAGTCCTTCTCTCTAATGGTCATTACAAACAACCCTTAAGTGGCTGGAATATAGTCAGCAAGGGGCCCACGTGAACAGCTCATCTGGAATCTTTGCAAGTACATATTTATGTCCTTTGGTGCCTTGCACAGTAAGGCACTGTTAATGATGTAACAGAATAGAGGAAATGCCCACAGCAAATAGTTCTAGTGACAATTTACTAGACAAGTTACAGTTTAATAATGGTGGTGGTGATTGTTTCTTTCATTTTATTATTATTTTTTACAATAAGGGTGTAGCCTTTATACTCCACACGCACAAAATAAAACAAGTGCTTATTACGAAAAGAGTCCCTGCCCCCACCCCCCAAGAACATCCTGAACATAGCAATTCAACAGAACAGAAAAATCAAGACAAGTTTGATTTCAAAATTTCAATAAAAAAGCAAAAGTATGTAATGCAACAGCTGTTCAACTTCCAACTCTAAATAGGCACCATTAAACAAACCCCAGTATTTTAAATTTCTCCGGCACACATTCCAGGATCAATGCTCTGAACTGTAATCAGCTAGTAATTCATAACAGGAATACAGCCTTAGAATGGAAGCTATATTGCTTCCCTGCCCCCTTTCTCTTACAATTGGAGAGTGTAGGTATTAAGGGATACAAAGTCAGAGGAAGAAGAATTAAAAAGAAAAATGCCCAAAGCTGCAGCTGTTTGGACTAGGAAGACAGCATTTTACAAACGTTCAAAAAATCCCAAGGCAAGTAACACAATTTGTTCACTATCACTCTTACTTGAAAGAATAAAGAGATCAGCATCTTATTATATAAAACTGTACTTTCAGAACTGTATTACAGGTTCACCAGAAACTATGGATGTAGTTTTAGGCATCATCAAGGAAAACAGGTTCAGTTCAGATAAAGTTAGATACTGTACATCTAGCCTAGCTGGATCTGGTGTCTGGATCTGCTCACTGTCGCCCTGAACAGCTGTGAACTAAACAATAGTACGTAACTCCATAGGAAGCTTAAGGATTGAAGAAATGTACACAGCTAGTTAGATCTCCCCTGCTTCGCGCTCTTCAGAGCTCCTCCTGTCTTCTGATCTGCCATTAGCACTCTCATAGGACCGCTTCTTATCTTTCCGATCTCTGTCACGAGGTGATCTGTCTCTTGAACTCCTGTCTCTGTCACATGATGCTAAGTCTTGGTCTCTGAATCTTTCTTTTGAGGATCTGAAAAATATTAATTTGAGGAGCAAAATATGTTGGGTAACCCAAAAACCCAAATTAAAGAATAGGATAAATATTAAGCTCTTGATAGCTGAAGATATATAGAAGAATATACCCATGACAGAGGAGTCAGTTTTCTGACCAAATACTGAGCACTACCATAGCTGATAAGGGCATTAAAACAAGAAGACGGGTGAAAACAAATAGCTGAGGGTCAGAAGGCTAAAATAATTTCTTACAGGCTACTCTCATTATCTCAGAGACAACAGAGTTTCTCCAATTCATAAAAGGTATTTCAATATAAAAACTAATACATAGATAATAGCTTTAAAAAGTGAAAGAAAGGTATTGTCTAAATTTTAAAATGGCTTAGAATAGGGGCCAGATGGTGACTATCTGGGGTGCTGCAGGTCCATGCAATCTTTGTGGCAGTGTTCTGTTCTTTTTAGAATGTAAAAACCATCCATAGCTTGCTGGTTGTACAGGCTGCCGGCCAGATTTGGCCTATCGGCAACAGTTTGCCAACACCTGACTTAGATAAGAGAACTACTCAATTATTAATATGAATTTAAATAACCACTTTAAAAAATCGACTCATACTGAGTTAGCTTATTCAACCAACAAGGGGAAATAAAAAAAAGACAAAGATGCTCACACTAATAAATCTTGATTAGCCGTAACTGTTTACTACCTTCTCCATTCCCATACCCAACTTCAATAAGAAAGGTGTAAATAATAACAATCAGAAGGAAAACCAAGCATATTATGGAATCAGAATAAACATGGAATCTTCTATACTTCCAACACCTAAAATCCAACAAATTACATTTATTTGGTTCTTTACAGGTGACACAGTACTTTTACATAATTATCTCAACTCATATTCAAAATTAGGATCTGAGGCACTACCAAGAACCTGAATAATTAATACTTTCAGGAAAATAAAAAATATGACTGTTCAGTTTTAGAAATATAGTTGAGGGTTAAACAAAAAAAGGTTCTAAAATAATGTAAACTTTGAATATTCTACTTAATGTTTTAATAAACTTAATTTTAAAATGATATAAAAAGACTGGGCACAGTGGCTCACACCTGTAATCCCAGCACTTTGGGAGGTCAAGGCGGGCTGACCACTTGAGGTCAGGAGTTCGACACCAGCCTAGCCAACATAGTGAAACCCCGCCTCTACATAAAATACAAAAAATTAGCTGGGTGTGGTGGTGCGCACCTGTAGTCCCACTTACTCGGGAGGCTGAGGCAGGAGAGTCACTTGAACCTGGGAGGCGGAGGCTGCAGTGAGTGAGCACAGATCGCATCACGGCACTCTAGCCTGGGTGACAGGGCGACACTCCATAAATAAAAAAAAAAATACAAATCACAGTGCCAAGTCTACTGATTCCATGTCTACATCAGTCCTATCCATAGCCTTTGTTGGAATAAAATATGAAAAGAGACGGTAAAAATGATACCTAAAAAGACACTAGATGCTAAACAGTCCCAGAGATCAGTAATAACAACTGAAAAACTATGATTATCAACTACTATGTCCCACACATAAGTGGTTTCCATATACTATTTTATTCAAACTGCCAATAATCTTAAAGCAGGTATTCTTACTATCTCCACTTAGTAGATGGGGAAAGACAGGTGAGATAATTAAATTACTTAGCCAAGGCAGGACGTGGTGGCTCACGCCTGTAATCCCAGCACTTTGGGAGGCCAAGGCGGGTGGATCACCTGAGGTTGGGAGTTCGAGACCAGCCTGGCCAACATGGTGAAACCCTGTCTCTACTAAAAATACAAAAATTAGCCAGGTGTGGTGGCCTGGGCCTGTAATCCCAGCTACTTGGGAGGCCGAGGCAGGAGAATCGCTTGAACCCGGGAGGCAGAGGTTGCAACAAGCCAAGATCGTGCCACTGCCCTCCAGCCTGGGTGACAGAGAGACTCTCGTCTCAAAAAAATAAATTACTTAGCCTAAACCAATGAACCCAAGTAATCTGACTTTGGAGTCTGCACTAAACATGTTTGAACAGAGCAAAAAGAAATGCAAATGGTCCTCATTTACACGGGGTACTATTGCCAGGAAGAGGTCACAAAGACAATCTACTTATATCAGAGACCAGTATTCTACAGTAGGGAAAGGAGAACAGCAAAACATAAAAGGCTTTCAATAAGAACTTTTACCTTGAAAAATTAAACCCAAATATGTAGCGATAACTTGATGTTGTATGAAATACCAAGTAAGTTTTAATAATTATCTGATAATTTTTAGTAAAAACAAAGAATGATGCTTTAGAAGAGAATAATTTCAATTCAAAGATGAGAAAGTGCTCGAGAAAAGCAAAACTTTTAATAGTTTTACAAAAATAATCCTCCTTATGAACATGCTGACATCTTAGATATGATCATGTATCATGTATGGTGGAAAAATTCCTATACAACTTCATAAACGCAGGAAGCATCAGGGACTAAAATAACACAATCTCAGATGAGGGGACTTCACACCCATCCTTCCCATACCCACCACCAATAAAGACATTTAAGAGTTCAGCAACAACAATGACAATTGGGCAGATTGACACAAGAAAATGTCTAAACCTTCCATCACCTAGCAGGATAATTCTGAAAATTCATTGTGCAGATAAGACAGGTAACTTTTTAAAAAATGCTCATTTCTGAACACTGCACTGAGGGTGGACCCCCAAAATCAGTTTCAAGAGCGTGAGATAAGAGGCCTACAAATCACTCTGTCCTTTACAAACTCCCTGCTCATTCTCTGCATTTGCCTAGGATATTCACTCTATATGAAGTATCTTTTTCCTAGCTGATTCTACTTGTTCAAATTTTATCGATTACCTGAAGCCATTTTTGATTACTTTGTTATTTGCCTCATCTGAACTCTCGGATCATTTACTCTATGATATGCAGTTCAGCACTTTGTAACATGTGGTAGTCTTATGCCAGTCTAATTATTGTCAAAGATGTAGATCCTGTGTTCTAACTCACACAGGAACTTTTTTTTTTTTTTTTTTTTTTTTAAATGAGAGACGGAGTCTCGCTCTGTCACCCAGGCTGGAGTGCAATGGTGCGATCCTGGCGCACTGCAACCTCCACCTTCAGGTTCAAGCGATTCTCCTTCCTCAGCCTCCTGAGTAGCTGGGATTACAGGCATGCGCCACCATGCCCAGCTAATGTCTGTATTTTAGTAGAGACGGGGTTGGTTGGCCAGGCTGGTCTTGAGCTCCTGATCTCAAGTGATACGCCCATCTCGGTCTCCCAAAGTGCTGGGATTATAAACGTGTGCCACCGTGCCCGGCCTCACATAGGAAACTTCTTAGAGCAACTTAAAGTTGTTCAACTATGTTATATGTCTTTCTTATGTTTTACTAAGTCTACTACGGTAAAACATATACAATTATTATTAAAATCACCTTAAGGACTACTAAAAACAAGGCCAGAATATAAGAAATAAAATACTGAGAGCCTATTAACAAACTCAGCTTGTGAGTGATTTCAGGGAATGGAAAGTTGAGTCAAAAAAAGGAAGGATTTTAACAGCTTTCTGTGGATTTTATTATAGATTTTATGTGGAGTAATCCACAGAATATGTAAGACTAGTAGGTACTAGGCACTCAAAAAATGTTTATCATACATATACTTTTGAATAGTTGTCAAGAAAAAAGCAATTTTAAACATGGCTTACATTACACAGAAATTACCTGGTTTAAGGGCCATCATGTGACCTGAGAAGTTTTGAGAGCTTGATCTATACAGACTGAATGCTAAACTCTTCTACCACATTATAATCCTTTGTCTATTCTTAATAGATATTCAAGTCCTCAAACATACCTTACCCTATGCCTGCACCTTTTGAATGTTCTCATTAAACCAAGGAAGTCTTGGAACTTCCTTAAGATTATGAGTCTGCCTTGCCAAGCTAAAGGTATGTAACAATACATATCTATAGTGCAGATAAAACAAGAATATACTAGAATGTGTCTGCTCTGAAAAAGCATCCCAGCTCAAATAAGTTTAGAAAACAATAAATCAAAGCTAAACAACTCTTTTAATGAAAGGACTTCTCAGAGCCCCTAATTTGCTGATCCATACTAAGGGCATAGGTATTTAATATTATTTACCTGTAAAGAACTTTTTTCCAAGACACACTAACCAGAGAAAAGCAATAACCTCTGCACATATTGGTTCCAATTTCTTGCTCTGGCTCATAAGTATATTCTTTCAAAACTACCCATATAATCACAGAAAAACGTTGTACACCCACACACAAATGTGTACATATTACCAGATGCAAAAGTTTCAAACCAATAATCTGAACTCTAAACATAAGTAACATAAGTAAACATAAACAACTCTAAAACATTAAGGGAGCTCCATATCCTCTGATTGACACATCAATACCTCCTCTTGGATCGTTCTCTGCTCCTATCTCTAGAACTGTGCCGACTTCTCTGGTGGCTACGGCTGCGGCTACGGCTGCTGGAGCGGGACCTGTGGCGATGGCGTTTCTCCCGAGATTTGGATCGAGTTCTCCTCTTGCGTTCACGTGACATGGAGCGAGATCGATGTCTGCGATGCTCTCTGGACCTGGATCTACCAGACAAGATTAGATTTTGTTTTTATCTTTGTAATTACTACATTTCTCATTTATTAAAGGCTTTTCTTTAAAGAGAAACTTTTTTTCAGTAGTCTTAATGTCAATTATATTCCAAGTCAGCTAAATCTACACTAAATTGCTGGTGTGTTAATAACTACATACTAGAATTCAAAATAAAACTTAATTCTCAGCCAGGCGCCGTGGCTCACATCTGTAATCCCAACCCTTTGGGAGTCTGAGGCAGGAGGATCGCTTGAGCTCAGGATTTTGAGAGCAGCCTAGGCAACATGGCAAAACTCTGTCTCTATAAGACATACAAAAATTAGCTGGGCACAGAGGCACGTGCCTGTAGTTCCAGCTACTCAGGAAGCTGAGGTGGGAGGATCACTTGAGCCAGGGAGGTCAAGGCTGCTGTAATGACCTGTGATCACACTGCTGCAGTCCAGCCTGGGCAACAGAGTGAAATTCTGTCTCAAAAACAAAAACAGGACACTGATAATTCTCAGAGATCAATCAGTAATGTATAAATTTATATCAGAAATAGTTTTTCAAGTGAAAGCAACTTTCGAACCACTACTATATGCCAGGGACTATATTATCTAGATGTGTTATGAATTTAATTGCACTTAAATATCTTGAACATTTTTTGTATTCTCTAGAAATTAAATATGTACCTGACAGACCTGGATAGAAGAGAAGAGATGAGGAAGCATACGTCAGGATAAATTACTCTCTCTCTCAATTAGAAAGGTGAGATAACCATAGAAATACGTTTTTAATGCCCACAGTATGCATGCCTAGTCACAGTGTAATCAAAACAGAGTAAGGGCCAGGGGTGGTAGCTCACGCCTTTAATCCCAGCACTTTGGGAGGCTGAGGCAGGATGATCACCCAAGCCTGGGAAGTCAAGGCTACAGTGAGCTGTGTTCACACCACTGCATTCCAGCCTGGGCAATAGAGAGCAAGAAAAAACACAGTAAGACAGTTCTCTATTCAAGGAGCAAAGAGTTTGGGAGAAAAAAAACTTGCAAAAATCATTTTTGAAAACTTGACTCAGATTGCAATAACAAAATGTATTTCTAATGAATACACAGAAATAGAGAAACAAAAAACATTCTGAAAACCCAGAAGATCTACGATCAAGGTGCTGGCAAAATAAAAACATTTTTTGAAAAGAAACCCACAAGGTGTAAGACACTTTTATAGCCTCCACCAGGTCACAAACTAACTTGTGGGGTCGGTGGGGGTGCGTTGAGAGGGTGGAAATGGCATGCAGAGGACATAAACATTTGACGGGAAACAAAGGCATGCAATTTTGTTAGAAGAGTCACTTTATGATGGAAATGTTCTCAACTGGGTTATGGTGATAGTGCACAGCTTTAAATTTGCTAAAAAATCACTGACTTCAGAGTAAATCATTTTTAATACCTCAATAAAACTGTTAAATTTAAGTCACTTTAAGAATGTGGGGTTTGCTCATAATTTGATACAGCAAGTTCAAAATCATATTATACATATGAGATAGTTTACAAATACAGTTTATGTTCAACTGATTGTTATAAACAATGCTTAAAGACATTCAGCTTATATCAACATTATAGTCAAACAAAGGTACATGACATGGATGTAGTTTTAGCCACTCTTAAAAGGAGTATTTCTGGCTGGGTACAGTAGCTTGTGTCTGTAATCCCAGCACTTTGGGAGGCCACCATGGGAGGATTGCTTAATCCTTAAACGGAAGGAGTTCAAGACCAGCCTGGGCAACACAGGGAGACTCCATATCTACAATAAATTTTTAAAAATTAGCTGGACATGGTGGCACACCCCTGTGGTCCCAGCTACTCAGGACAGAGTGAGACCCTGTCTCAAAAACAAAACAAAATTAAAACAAAAACAAAACGTATTTCCACAGCTGAAATAATTCCAAAAGGAAGCAGAGGGAAAAGATATAAAACTCAATATAAGTTTTATCAAATTATATTTCGTTTAACCACTCATTTTGAGTTATTAATGAATGCTTTTTCTTCCAATGTGTAACTTTATTCATCTTTTAAAAAATTCTAGGTAATTTTTTCATCCAAAAAATATTCACTAGGTATTTTTGCACTGTTCTAGGTACTACGGGAGGTTGAGAAGCAAAATAAAGTTCTTGAACTAAACTTAGTGCTTATACTATAGAAAGGGATCTATACAGGTTTGTAGGCAGTAAATAAAGGTATGTCAGGTGGTTAAAAAAAAAAGATCTATTGCTAGACACGGTGACTCATGCCTGTAATCCCAGCACTTTGGAAGGCTGAGGCAGGTGGATCACTTGAGGTCCGGAGTTCAAGACCAGCCTGGTCAACATGGTGAAACCCCCTCTCTACTAAAAATCAAAACAACAACAACAAAAAAAATTAGGAGGGCATGGTGGTGCGTGCCTGTAATCCTAGCTACTAGGGAGCCTAAGGCAGGAAAATCACTTGAACCTGGGAGGTGGAGGTTGCAGTGAGCTGGCATCGCGCCACTGCACTTCAGCCTGGGTGACAGAGCAAGACTCCATCTCAAAAAGAATTAAAAGAGGTATTACATAGGGTGGAGAAAGAGAAAAGAGTGGAAATATTTATACGGAATAAGCAGGGAAGGCTTTTCTGATAGGGTGGCACTGAAGCAAAGCTAAAAGAAGAAAGGCAACAAGTGAATCAGCCATCTCAGAGAGGAGTGCTTCAGACTGAGGGAACACAGATGCAAAGTCCCTGAGGTGGGAAAAAGCTCAGCATGTCGAAGGAAAAGACCAGTGTGGCTGGAATGAAGTGAGCAAAAGGAAGTAACATCAGGGTCTTACAGGCAGGATGACCAGATACTTTTATCATTCAAACCAGAAGGCTCTGAATAAGTTACTGAGTGTAATGAGAAGCTATTAATACATATTCTGAGATAAAAGACATAAACCAGAACTATCCCAGGGCAGTTTGGGCTATGCCAAGCTTGTCCAACCTGCAGCCTCCAAGCCGCATGCTGCCCAGGATGGCTTTGAATACAGCCCAACACAAATTTGTAAACTTTCTTAAAATATTATGAGATTTCTTTGCTATTTTTTTTTTCAGCTCATCAGTTATCATTAGTGTATCTGATGTGTGGCCCAGGGAAGCCAAAAGATGAGACACCCCAGACCACACCGTCACTCTATGTAAAAGCTTTGGTAAAGATGTTAACTTCTCTTATGAATGAGATGAAAAACCTTTGGAGAGTCAGAGGGCTGACGTGTGATGTATTTCATTTTTTTAAAGGGCTTATCCTGGCTGATGTGTGAAAAATAGAATGAGGTGAAGAAGGGGAGTGGGCAAGCACAGAGAAGTAAGGAGCCCAGTTACAAGGCAAACGTACTATCTAGGTAACTGGACTAGAGAAGTAGAAATTAAATAACTGGCCCAAATACCTAAAGATGTTCTATGTGCAATACTTTATGTTTTCAACAAAAGGACCAGCTTATATTAATCAAACAGTAAACAAGAACAGTATCACAGTTTAATGTTTCTACTTACCATGCTAGATCAGAGAAATTCACCAATAATAGAAATTAACGGACACAACAGGCCCCACTTATTAATGTTCTTTAGTTTTTCTGTGTTTTAGGCAGAAACACCATTGAAAGATTTAGCTAACAGAACCATAAGTTTTTTGTTTTTCTTTTCTTTTTTTTTTTTGAGACAGTCTCACTGTCACCCAGGCTGGAATGCAGTGGCACAATCTCGGCTTACTGTAACCTCCACCTCCTGGGTTCAAATGATTCTCCTGCCTCAGCCTCTCAAGTAGCTGGGATTACAGGGACCTGCCACCACATCCGGCTAATTTCTGCATTTTTAGTAGAGATGGAGTTTCGCCATGTTGGCCGGGCTGGTCTCAAACTCTTCACTTCAGGTGATCAGCCTCCCAAAGTGCTGGGATTATAAGCGTGAGACACTGCGCTCAGCCAGGTTTTTCCTTCATAAAAACAAATTCTCTACTTTTTAGGGAAAAGTTCTTGGGAAATTGTCTCTAGAGCTGAGAACTCAGAAGATTTCTAAAAGAAGATGTGATCTGAACAAGAGGAATGGTAGAATTTGGAAAAGACTGAGAAAGGGCATTCTAGGTGGGATTGGATCCATGAAGAAAAGCTCAACGACTGGAATGAGAGTGGCAAGTGAAGAATTGAGAAAGAATGATGTAAATACAACACATTTCCCTGCCTTTCTCAGACAAAAAAAATGTATCACCAACTAGCAAAAACGATAAAGAAAGGTTTCAAACCCCAAATATTAATGCTGAAAGTCAAAATAAAGTATTGTCTTGCTCCTTAAGGCTGCAAATGCCTCTGAAAGCTTTCTGTGATCACTGTATAAAGGAATGGGTAATAAACTCACATAAAGTCAAGACTGCAGGGTATACTCAACATTTTGGTTTTGCTTAACCTATCAATCAAAATTTTCTCCAACTATTAACCTACTTATGTTTTTAACAGCTACAACCTCTTAGAACATGTTTCCTAAATGTACCACCCAAATCGATTTTTTAAAAATTAATCCTTTTACATCTCTACTCTGAGCATCTAAACGACTTAAAAAAATTTTTTTTTTTTTTTTAAGAGTCTCGCTCTGTTGCCCAGGCTGGATTGCAGTGATGCAATCTTGGCTCACTGCAACCTCTGCCACCCAGCTTCAAGCAACTCTCCTGCCTCAGCCTCCTGAGTAGCTGGGATTACAAGCGTGCATCACCGTGCTCCGGCCAAAAAAATATTTTTTTAAAGGACCATTTAATCTATAAAAACTACCTTTGAAAAAGACAACTTCACTACTTATACCTGTCTTATGTAATACACCTACCTTTTCGGATTCTTGCTGTGTGATCGGGACCTAAAAAAAGAGTATGTATTTTTAGAAAAGTGGCTATAAATAAGAAAACAGTACAATGTTACATTATATTCTTCCTGATTTCTAATGTTTACATTAATTTTATAAATACAAGGCATGTACCTATGCACATAAAATTTTCCAAAATACACCACAAACTCGGCAGATTTCTTCACCTTGCAGGGTTTGCTTAACTCAGAATACCTGGCTCTTAAAGAATATGCTCCTAGGAGATTAAAACAGTACAGGTTGAGTACTCTGAAACGCTAAGGATCAGAAGTATTTCGGATTTTTTCTGTATTTTAAAATTTTTTACATTTTTTGTTGCCCAGGGTGGTCTTGAACTCCTGGATGCAAATGATCCTACCACCTTGGCCTTCCAAAGTGCTGGGATTACAGGCGGCCAATTTTTTTTCAAAATTTAGAGTGTCTGCATTATAATTCACTAGTTCAGCATCCCTAAATCCAGAAACCAAAACCTGAAATGCTCTAATAAGCACCTCCTTTAAATGCTGTCAGCACTCAAAAAGTTTCAGATTTTGAGGCTCACTGGATTTGATTTTTTGGATTTGGGATGCTCAACCTATATATCACAACTTGCTAATTTTTCAGAAACCACTTAACTGCTTGGAAAAAATTATTTTATATCTGTCATTTCTTTTTTCTCTTCTGGGAAGAGTGAAATTCTATGGTCTGAGATCTATATACTCTCGGAGCTACAACCTCATAATATAATCTCTAGAACACCTAGTTCAATTTTACAACATGTTTCTTCAAATGAAATGAGATACTCTACATAAGGCACTTGTCACATTTCCTGGCACACAGTTAACACTCAATAAAATGTACAGTGAATATTATGGTTAGTAGAACACCACAGGGATTATTTTTTTTTGGATGATACATAGCATTGTTGAAAGCATGGCTTTGAGATCAGCCAGATTTGAGTTTTATTTCCGGTTCTACAATTCACTGTCTGTGTGACCTGAGTAAGTTATATATCCTCTCTCAGCTTAGTCTGTCACTAGCAAAAGAGGGATACTAATATAAATTTTACCGGGATGAAGTGGGGGTGGGGTTTACAAAGATTAGATGAATATGGATAAATTCCTTACTACAGTGCCTGGCATACAATAAGCACCCAGTAAATGACTGATTTTTTTCGTTTATCCCATCTTGTATAATTTTATACTAGTTTCTAATTTCCTCATCTTCCGTACTTCCATATTTAAGCTCACAGATTCAACAACTTATTTTAACATTTCTGAAATTTGCATTGTATAATAACTGTCAAAAGAAACTTGCCATTTGGCAAACAAAGGAGTAAGATGTGATATACTTTTTCATCATCTACAAATGTGAAAATGTAGTCCTGCAAAGAAATTTTGTTCCATGTTACTGTCACCTCAATTGAATCTTAAAATGAGATTCCCAATTATTACTGAAAATTCCACTTATATATTAGAATAGTGGGCAACATTCCCATAAGGACTTAGTGTACACAAAAGAACAAGTAGATAAAAGCTCTGAGGTAAACGTTATGGTAAATGAAGAACTCTCTCTCTCTTAATAGAGGACTGACATCACTTCCCCTGAAAAGGAACCATATAGACATATAGTTTTGTTTCATTGTCATTATGGTGCAAAAAGATTACCTGATTATAAGCCATGTAACATAAATTCTGTTTAAACTTCTTGAAATATACTGAGTATAATATGCTCAAAGATTGAAGGAAGTGAGCATAACCTAATACTACAAAGGGTTTTAATTAGCTTAAGCACATCTGCTAACTCTGAAGAGAAAATATTTAACTTTCAGACATTTAAATGTAATATGGGCCAGGCACAGTGGCTCAAGCCTGTAATCCCTGCCCTTTGGGAGGCCGAGACGGGCAGATCACAAGGTCAGGAGATCGAGACCATCCTGGCTAACATGGTGAAACCCCGTCTCTACTAAAAAATACAAAAAACTAGCCAGGCGCGGTGGCGGGTGCCTGTAGTCCGGGCTACTCGGGAGGCTGAGGCAGGAGAATGGCGTAAATCCGGGAGGTGGAGCTTGCAGTGATCCAGCCTGGGCGACAGAGCAAGACTCTGTCTCAAAAAAAAGAAAAAAATAAATAAAAAAATAAATGTAATATGATTCAGGGAACACTATAAATTAGGACTACAGGCAAATCCTTTGTGATATAATTGTCCATCCTAAAGCTGCTGAAAAAGTTATAAAGATGAGTTACAGAAAAATGTTGCCACCATGATGCTATGTGATTTTAGCTGCCAATGGGTAAAAGTGACTCAGAAGAATGTTTAGACATTCCAAATACTAAGAATTATAAGATTTTATCAATTAATGAATACCAATGTAAGAGGAATTATAAACATTGAGGTATTACTAATAGACTTTTTAACAGGTTATGGCTCCTAGAATTGAGGAAATAACGAACCAAAGATCAATGTAAAATAAACCCTTCAATGAAACAACCACCCTTAAACCTTTTATTCACAAAATACATCATAAAAAAATAATTCTATGCTAACCTGGTGCAAATCTAGCCCAATATGAAAAATCAAAAGGCTAGAAAAGGATTTTGTTATAAATCTTACAAGATATGAAGCATTCTTTATTCACTCTTCCACACATTTTAAAGGAAACCACATTCCGTTAAATGGCCAAGAGTTATGATACTTGTATGATTAAACATTTATATAATTCGCACAGTAATATTTTTTAAAGTAAGCAGAAGTTTCCCATATCCCATAACAGATTTATCACCATCTAAAATTTAAAATCAATTGTATCTCTTTTTCGAACCAGAGATTCAACTTCAATTACTTGGCCCATTACTCCATACCTCCTCAGCTTCTCCCTTTCTTCTCTTTCTCTTTCTTCTCTTCGTTTCAGCCGTTCCTGGTTTCTTTTCTCCTGCTTCTCAGCTACGACTCTCTTAAAAATGGTAATAAATGAGGAGCATATTTACTGAGTCCATTCTTAATCAGCTTTATCCTAAACTTTACATTATCTGGTTTCTAATATAGTACAACTGCTGTCAAAATCTGTTTAATAACAATTCAATTTGAATTACTGCCAGAAATAATCATTAGGCTTACAAGTCTTCTTTCCTTCATCTTTCCCCACTTTGTGGAAAATGTGTAAAATTTCACCTTTCTCCATGATTTCTATTTTTTTTTTTTAATGAAAACAAATTATTTTAAAATAGAGACAGAAACTGGCTATGTTGCCCAGATTGGTCTACAACTCCTGGGCTCAAGTGATCCTCCGACCTCAGCCTCCCAAAGTGCTGGAATTAACAGGTGCGAGCCACTGAGACCAGCCTACGATCTTACTATTATTATTTTTTTAGAGACAGAGTCTTACTCTGTTGCCCAGACTGGAGTGCAGTAGCGCCATCTCAGCTCACTGCAACCTCCACCTGCCAGCTGCAGCTACCTGAGGAGCTGGGATTACAGCCATGCATCACCACACCCAGCTAATTTTTGTATTAATATTTTTTAGTGGAGACAGGGTTTCACCATGTTGCCCGGGCTGGTCTCCAACTCCTGGCCTCAAGTGATCTGGCCACCTTGGCATCCCAAAGTGCTGGGATTACAGGCATGAGCCACCATACCCAGCTCCATGATTTCTTTCTTTCTTTTTTTTTTTTTTTTGAGACAGAGTCTCGCTCTGTTGCCCAGATTGGAGTGCAGGGGCACAATCCCAGCTCACTGCAACCTCCACCTCCCGGGTTCAAGCGATTCTCCTGCCTCAGCCTCCAGAGTAGCTGGGACTACAGGCACGCACCACCACACCCAGCTAATTTTTATATTTTTAGTAGAGACGGGATTTCACCATATTGGCCAGGCTGGTCTTGAACTAATGACCTTGTGATCCACCTGCCCTGGCCTCCCAAAGTGCTAGGATTACAGGCGTAAGCCACCACGCCTGGCCTTTCATGATTTCTTAGTGACATTTCCAAGTCACTTCTACAAGATTTTCCTCCTCTGTTTTCTAGTATTATCTTGTATTTTTTTTTAAAAAATCAACCATTATAAATCATTACAAGTTCCCATGCCCTGTGATTTCTAATATGGAAATATTTAGGTCACTTCCAATTACCATCCTGATGCTGCTGCTTTTAAAGATATGAGTAAAATGCTTGAGTTCTGTTGCTAGGTCTGTATGTGCAGACTCCCAAGTAGGAACCACTGGAGTTTTAACTTGGAGCCCAATAACTATTTGCTATAGTGACTCTTTTCGAAAATTTTTTAAAAATTACTTGAGATCACCCTCGCTACTCAGAATACTGAAAAGAGCCCACCGTTAACCTGCGAATCTGGAGATGTCCATAGGCATTTTCTGATTCTACATTATTTTAAATGCTATGGACCTTGAGTTAATTCCAGTGATAACAGTTACAAAGAAAATGACTATCCCATGTTTCCCATCTGTCAGCTAGTCCTCAATTCATGGAAAAACACTACAGTGCCACAATTCTTAAAAAGCTATCAGCATATTAAAAGGTAAATAGATTATATCCACGAACACTCATCTTTATCACTTCAGAAATACCACCAAATATGATAAAAATATCACGTTTATCCCCTCTAAACAAGAGTAAAAACTATGTTGTTTTCCTCACAAAAGCCTATATATTGAATAGTGATTGTCCCTTTAAAAAAATATATAAATTTTTTCATAAGTCCTTTCTGAAGTGGAAGCAGGAGCGTAAAATTAGAGATTCTGCAAGCTTGTTATTTAGTAAAGAATTGCAAAATATTTCAAATTAATATTGGGCTCATTTTCTCAAACTTCTTATAAATATTGTATTAATATTACATTCTTATTGACCTTATTGAAAAGAACGATAACAATGAAATTTTACAGGACTCTATTAGAAACTAGTTTGAAAGATTCCTAACTCAGTGTCATATCTAATATAAAATGGTAACTCCCAAAATAACAGAATAATATTTAAGTCTGTTTCTCAGGCAGCATCCATTAAACCAACTTGAATTTCCATCTGTAATCCTACACTGTTTAGTATTCATCATTAGATTACTATATTACTGAACCATAGTCAAGAATATTGTACAAAAAAACAACTGATACAGATCAAAAGAACAAGAGGATAAAGTGAGGAATATTTTACCAATGTACCTTTAATTCTTCAAGCTTCTCTCTTATTTCAATAAATCCCAGGTGTAGTTTACCCCCAAAATGATCAGCCAGTCGTCTGTCATTATCATGAAGTCCTAAATAGGCAGAGCAGACTTCACAGACTCGAAGTTTCTGCTGTTGAAAACTGGAAGCTGGCATAGAATTCCGATAAACTTCCTAAACAAAAGTGAGAAAAACAATGACCATATAAATCTTACTAGAAGTCATCCAATTAAATACAATATACTATGCTTCTACCAAAATGTTTTCTAAAGAATACACAAAAGCAGCCGGGCATGGTGGCTCACGCCTGTAATCCCAACACTTTGGGAGGCCAAGGAGGGTGGATCACGAGGTCGGGAGTTCAAGACCAGCCTAGCCAACATGGTGAAACCTCATCTCTACTAAAGATACAAAAAATTAGCCAGGCATGGTGGTGTGTGCCTGTAATCCCAGCTACTTGGCAGGCTGAGGCAGGAGAATCGCTTGAACCTGGGGAGTGGAGGTTGCAGTGAGCCGAGATCATGCCACTGCACTCTAGCCTAGGTGACAGCGCAAGACTCCAGCTCAAAAAAAAAAAAAATTACACAAAAGCATGGCTATTTTGTTATGAAAATTATAGGTTCCCTTTATCCCCATCCTCTATCCTTAGGGCCTCTCTCCACTGGAGTATAAGGAAAGAAATAATAAACATGAACAGAAATCAATGATATAGAAAACAAGAAAACAGTAAGATCAGAAGACTGGTTCTTTGAAAAACAAAATAAAACTGACCAGCTAGATAAATCAAGAAAAGACAAGACACGAACTGCAAACATTCTACAGATATTAAAAGAGAACATTATGAACAACTTTATATCAATAAATACAACTTAGAGAGATTTTGTGAAACACAAATTTACCAAAAGTAATTTTAAAAACAACAACAAAAACCGGCCAGGTGCGGTGGCTCATGCCTGTAATCCCAGCACTTTGGGAGGCTGAGGTGGACAGATCACCTGAGGTCAGGAAAGCAAGACCAACCAGGCCAACATGGTGAAAGCCTGTCTCTACTAAAAATACAGAAGATTAGCCAGGCATGGTGGTGCACGCCTGCAGTCCCAGCTACACAGCAGGCCGAGGCAAGAGAATCGCTTGAACCCGGGAAGCAGAGGTTTCAGTGAACTGAGATCGCACCACTGCGCTCCAGCCTTAGAGAGTGAGACTGTCTTTAGGAAAAAAAAAAGGGCCTGGCACAGTGGTTCACTCCTGTAATCCTAGCACTTCGGGAGGCCAAGGCAGGTGGATCACCTGAGGTCGGGAGTTCAAGACCAGCCTGACCAACATGGAGAAACCCTGTCTCTACTAAAAATACAAAAATTATCCAAGTGTGGTAGTGTGGGCCTGTAATCCCAACTACTTGGGAGGCTGAGGCAGAAGAATCGCTTGAACCTGGGAGGCAGGGGTTGCGATGAGCCGAGATTGTGCCATTGCACTCCAGGCTAAGCAACAAGAGCGAAACTCCATCTCAAAAAAAAAAAAAGGCTGGACTTGAACTGAACTCAAGCGACTGCCTCAGCCTGTGGAATAGCTGGGACCAAAGGCACACACCACCCCAACCAGCTTTTTCCGTGTTTTGTTTTTGTCTTTTAGTTCAACTTCTCTTTAATAACTGTTCAATAATTTCCATTCAAATACATGTTCTTAGAGAAGTATAGATATTAAAGTTTCATCTACTACTTTTTTTTTTTAAGTCTTACCAAGTTAAGCAGAATTCGTCTACTACTATTAAGAATTTACCTCTGCTTCTCTTTTCTTTGCCCGTGCTTTCTCTACTTCATCCATTACTTTCTGGGATTCTTCCACATTCCCTTCAGCTCCTAGTTGTTCCACCTTAGCTAACAATTTACCAATTTCTTCATTTAACTCATGAACACGTTCTGCCTAAAAAGAAATAAAAACAGGTCATGAATAAACAAGAGAATGAATTTTAAACTTCAAGATATTTCAGAACTGCTGAGAAGAGACTTGTTATCTAAGGCAATATGAGGTTAAAGAATGCTTTCGGAGCATATCCCAAATGAACTGAGACATCAGGATGTTCCGAGCCTGCCTGCCTTACCTCAATGAAGTCAGGGCTACTACTGGGCCCAATATAACTTTCTGTCCTCTGGCGAGGTGCTGTATTCCTAGTTTAAAATACTGTTTCTTCCATGATCTGGCCCTTTGTACTTTTCTAAACCATCTCTTGCTACTCCTCTACCTCACAACATAATCTATAGTTTCCCAAACTTACCCTGTTGTTTTCTACCTCTGTGACTTTGCATATACTCTTCTTTCTGGGATGGGATCCCTTACCTTTCGTCTGCCTACTGAATGTTCACTCATTCCAACAAGATCCAACTCAAGGGTCATTTCTGTAAAGCATTCCTAACATTCACTGCATCCCAGCTCCACTTAAACACATCAGCAAACATGGCTATACTCTCTCCTTTGTATCTTTTTTGACAGTTCCTTTCATAAATATCATACTACTTTAAGGACAGTTAGCTGTATTTCCCATCTTTGTATCTCTAGTGCTCAGCAAATAGCCTAGGCTCAAATATGAGTTAAAGAAATGAATTGGTGGATCAAGCTCAGGAGTCCAACAGATCTGACTTATTGCTAAACCAATTACTATTTGTGTAATTTTGGCTACATTACTTATACCTGAATCCATTTCCTCATCTAAAAAGTACAGACAGTACCTATCCCACAAAGTTGTGAGAAATGAGAAAATACGCCTTGTATGTACACTGCATAGCACCTTACTGATTTTCAGCATACTTGCCTGGCAACTCCACTCTGAGTCCTTAGTTTTCCACTGAGATTAACTCTTGCCTTGGGAAGGAATACATTCCTCTTCCTTATCACTATTATCATCCTAGCAACTTAGTTCATTCTTACTGTTCTAATGGCACATAAAACATACATATAATCATTATCTTGGGCCACAAAGTCTTTGCTGTATGGCCAATTATGTTAGCAAAGAAGGTTTTAATTTTTTGTTGTTGTTATTGTTGTTTTTGAGATGGAGTCTTGCTCTGTCCCCAGGCTGGAGTGCAGTGGCACGATTTCAGTTCACTACAACCTCTGCCTCCTGAGTTCAACCGATTCTCCTGTCTCAGCCTCCCCCATAGCTGAGATTACAGGCATGCACCACCATGCCTGCTAATTTTGCAGTTTTTGTAGAGAAATGTTTCACCATGTTGGCCAGGCTGGTCTCAAACTCATGACCTTAAGTAGTTCACCCACCTTGGCCTCACAAAGTGCTGGTATTACAGGTGTTAGCCACTGCACCCGGCCGAAGGTTTTGGTTTTAGTTTGGTATGAGTTTCCTGTCCCAACAAACCAGTTTACTGGTTTAATTAATAATCTTTACTTCTCAAATATCCTTCAACCCAAGATATTTCTTCCCTCAGTGAGAGTCCTAATTCTATTATTACTATCCTTCCTCTCTACCAAATGGTATTTTCCTTTAAATACATTACTGAACAACTAAACTGTTGTCCAAAACTCTTTTTCCCTGTATCCATGTCCTTGACCATGTAATTGTGTACCATCGTACTCTGACTCTGAATTTGGCCATGAACTTGTTTTGGTTATTAAGATGGTAGCAAACATGACCAAAGGAGAGGTCTGTGTGATGGGGCTTGATGCTTCTGCACCTCTGCCACCACCATGAGAACACGGCCAGGCTAGCCTGCTGGGCATGGCTCTGCATCCTCCAGCGGACTGCAAGGCATGTGAGTAAGCCCAGCTGAAACAAGAATAACTACTCAGTCAAGTTCAGTCTAAATCATCGACTGCAGAGTCATGGGCTAAATAAATACTTACTGTTTTAAGTCACTGAGCTTTGAGGTGGTTTGTTATACAGCATTTCTGTAGTGATGGATAACCAATACAACCAATACAACTCAGGATCACTTACAGATCTCTTCCAACCATGAGATACTAGATCCTTTGTACTTCAGGATGCCCGTCTTTCCAGTCCCCATCTTCAGAGAACTTTTAAGAAAAGGCTGACTAAAAGCAACCCTTTTCTCAAACGATGGAATCTATTTTCATTTGCATATACATATCTGAACACCATATTTTAATACTGTCATCTAAACTCCACCTGGGTAACTCTTTTTCTCCCATTCTGCATTTTCATAAAACACACTAGATCATACTGGAATATAATTATGTTGTAATAAGTCATCAACAAAATGCAATATCGAAGACCTTGTTTGGATCCTAATAACAAATCGACTCTATATAAGAAAAATAAACATATACTGGATAACATTAAAAAATTACTGTTAACTTTATGTATGTATTACTGTGGTTATAATTTACAGGTGAAATATGACATTTAACATTTGCTTTTAAAAGCAAATAAAAATACTGTGGTATATCTGTACAATGGAGAAATAAAAAGGAATGAACTGATACTAACAACTTGAATGAATCTCAAGAAAGTTATATGGAATGAAAAAGGTCAAATCTCAAAAGAGTACACAGGATTTCATTTATATAACACTCCATGAAATAACATAACTACAGAGACAGAGAATAGGTTAGTGATGGCCAAGGTGAGAGATGTTGGATGGGGGTGAAGATGGATGTAGCTATCAAAGAGGTAACATGAGGCAGCCTTGTGGCAATGCTATAGTTAAGCATCCTAATTGTGGTTGCAATTACACATGTGATTAAACTACAGAGAGCTGGCCAGGTCTAGTGGCTCATGCCTATAACCCCAGCACTTTGGGAGGTCAAGGTGGGCAGATCACTTGAGGCCAGAAGTTTGAGATCAGCCTGGCCAACATGGCGAAACTCTGTCTCTGCTAAAAATAAAAAAAATTAGCTAGGAATAGTGACGAACGCCTGTAATCCCACTTACTCAGGAAGCTGAGGCACGAGACTTGGTTAAGCCCAGAAGGCGGAGAATGCAGCGAGCCAAGATTACAACACTACACTCAAGCCTGGGCAACACAGCAAAACTCTGTCTCAAACAAAAACAAAAACAAAAAAACTGCACAGAGCTATACAAACAGACATGCATATACAAATAAATGCATGCATAACTGGCAAAATCTGAATCAAATATAAGGATTAGACCAATGTCAATTTATTTGATATTGTACTACATTGTGTAACATGTTAACACTGGGGCAGACAAGAGAGTATACAGAATTCTTCGTATATGTCTTTCCAATCTCTTGCAAATCTAATTATTTCAAAATAAAAAGTTACAAGGAGTCGAAACAATACTTTGTACTAATGAAATGATTAAAATTCTTACCTTTGCTGCTACTTCAGCACTAATCTCTTCTTGAGTTTCTGCTAATCTTTTCTTGGCCACTTCTGTTCTACGATCACAATCTGCAATGAATGACTGCAGATGATCCATGGCCTACAAAGTTTAATTAAAGACAATTACTGTCAGAAAGTCGACTTTATTCAGAAGTATCTTCATACAAAAATCACATTTTGCTTTTTAAAATGCTACCATGGTGGGGCACGGTGGCTCACATCAGTAATCCAAGCACTTTAGGAGGCTAAGGCAGGCAGATCACTTGAGGCCAGCCTGGCCAACTTGGCGAAATCCTGCCTCTACTTAGAATACAAAAATTAGCCAGGTGGGTGGTGCACACCTGTAGTCTCAGCTACGCGTGAGGCTGAGGCACAAGGAACACTTGGGCCCAAAGAAGTTGAGGCTGCAGTGAGCCCTGATGATGCCATTGTACTCCAGTGTGGGTGACAGAGGTCATTAAAAAAAAAAGCAGCAGCAGCTGGGCGCGGTGGATCTTGCCTGTAATTCCAGCACTTTGGAGGCTGAAGCAGGTAGATCACCTGAAGTCAGGAGTTTGAGACCACGCTAGCCAACATGGTGAAACCCCGTCTCTACTAAAAATACAAAAATTAGCCAGGCATGGTGGTGTGCGCCTGTAATCACAGCTACTCACGAGGCTGAGGCGGGAGAACCACTTGCACCTGGGAGGTGGAGGTTGCACTGAGCCAAGATCGCACCCCTGCATTCTAGCCTGGGTGACACAATGAGAGTGTGTCTCAAAAAAAAATCACTTGAGGACATGGAGAAATGTTCAGGATTCATTTGTAAATAAAAAGCAAATTACAAATGTTATGCAGTAAGATCCCAATTTTGTAAAATAAAGACAGAAAAATCTGCTGCAAGTCTAGATCTGAATGGACAAAAACACGGAAAAAATGGAAAACTATACAAAATGCTAACAATAAGCATTTCTGACATTTTTACCCTTTTTTAATTCTCCAAACTGCTTTATAATTTTTTCTTTTTTGAGACAAGAGTCTCATACATTAGGAAAACTTATCTTTTTTCAGAGAATAAACCATTGAGAATTTTAGCAATATCTACACTATAAAAATTCAATATTTATATAAACGATATTTGTGAGGCACATATTAATGTGTATAATTAATAGTTCATTTAAAAGTAAACTTTAAGAATTCATTCTCAAGTTTGGACTTTCAAATCTTACTGTATAGAAATATAACTAATTCAAGATACAAATGTTTAACTAAAAATACAAATTTATTCAGCACACACTGAATTCCAAAAACAGCTGGGTAACCCAAGAATTTCTTCAATGTGAAAATAAGGATCATTTTTAAAAAAGCTTTTATCTGTGATAACATAAAAATAGTTAATTAATTTGAAATTTACTTTATAAATCACAACAGAAATCTATTCAAATTTCCTTATGTAAAGATAAAGGTGGCATCTCAAAGCACTGAGAGAAAAGATGGACTAATTAGCAAATAGTGTTGGGTGACTAAGTAGCTATGTCACGTTAGGGGGTGACTAGATCCATATCTCAATTCCTTAAACCAGAATAAACGCGAAAAGTCTATAAAATGAAGCCAAAATATGCCAGAAGAAACCACGGGAGAGAATTCTTAGCACCTCAGAAAAAGAAAAGCCTTTAGAATTAATGAAATAGATTTGGTTTTTCTGTTTGTGTTTTGAGACGGAGTCTTGCTCTGTCCCCCAAGGTGGAGCACAGTGGCACATCTAGGCTCACTGCAACCTGACTCCCGGGTTCAAGTGATTCTCCTGCCTCAGCCTCCCAAGTGGCTGGGATTACAGGCACCCACCACCATGTCCAGCTAATTTTTGTATTTTTAGTAGAGATGGGGTTTCACCATGTTGGCTAGGCTGGTCTCAAACTCCTGACCTTAGGTGATCCACCCCTGCCCTGGCCTCCCAAAGTGCTGGGATTACAGACGTAGGAGCCACCACGCCAGGCTATAGATGTGTTAAAGATTGATAAATCAGACAATATAAATATAAAAGTACTCCGCAAGGCCAAAAACCACCAAAAAAGTAGGGAAAATTTGTTGTAAACTGTATTTCCAAAAACAATTTCATTTCCATTAGCAGAAATTGTTGGATATTCAGAAGACAGGAGGACCTGTTTACTGGTTTATCTCCTAAAAACTAAATTTAAAACATCTATTATTTCACTAATAAAATATATCATAAGATTATGCACATTAGTATGTTTTATGTAACGCTGATTGTTATGCTTTATATATATGCAAAAAAGGTTTATTTTTATGCAAACGATTTTCATGTAAAAGCAACAATATAAAGTTACATTTCAGGCTCTTTGAGATATCTAAATGGTGTCTTCCATTGCTTGGTTTTTCATTATAAACATCGTCCTTGATATCCCCCAAATGGCCGGATGCAGTGGCTCACGCCTGTAATCCAGCACTTTGGGAGGCCAAGGTGGGCAGATCACGAGGTCAGGAGATCGAGACCATCCTGGCTAACAAGGTGAAACCCTGTCTCTACTAAAAACACAAAAAAATTAGCTAGGCGTAGTGGTGAGCACCTGTAGTCCCAGCTACTTGGGAGGCTGAGGCAGGAGAATGGCACGAACCCGGGAGGCGGAGCCTGCAGTGAGCTAAGATCGCGCCACTGCACTCCAGCCTGGGCGACAGAGCGAGACTCTGACTCAAAAAAAAAAAAAAAATTCCCCCAAACACCTGTACACATGTCCCTCACTATCTGTGCGAGATTGGTTCCAGGATACCCAGTGGATACCAAAATCCATGAATGTGCATTTTTTAATATAAAATGATGTAATACTTGCATATAATCTCCCATTACACAACCTCTCATATACTTTAAATTGCCTCCAGATTACTTATAATACCTAACACAATGTAAATGCTATGTAAACAGTTATACTGTAATGTTTGGGGAATAACAACAAGAACAAAATGTCTGTACATGTTCAGTACAGATGCAACAATCCCTTTCTTCTGCTAAATATTTACAATCCCCAGTTGGTTCCTTCTACAGATTCCACGACAGATATGGGGGGCCAACTATACATACATGTATATATATAAGTAGATATAAAAATAAATATGAATGTAAAAACTCAGTATATTACTAAAGATATGTCCTTATATACACTATTAATTAGTTGCTTACATTTGCTTGATATTTCCTTAATCATTACTACTTTGTTGGGAAGAATATGCTTAATTTTCAAAAGAATATATGAATCATATGACTTTTACACATTTTCTTAAAATACAGTCTCACCTCATATTTTTAAAAGAGTTGTCAAGAAAGTACATGATCTTACTTGAGTCTTACCCTTCATATAACCACAGAGGATAAACTAAGAGTTTTTCTTATTAAGAGAGATTAATCCACATGTTTTACAGCAAAAGATAACAAACCATTAAAGCAAAATCACATACATCAAGTTCAAAGAAAAAATCTTGTTCTTTGGATGCAATTTCATAATCCGCTCTTAAAGCCAGGTCATGGACTTTCAGACATTCTCCAAGATCCATTCTCTGGAAGGGAAAAAAGACATAATATTGAAACAAAAAAACACATTTTTTAAAAAAATGCATCAACAACCACAGTTCTTTTCAGAATACATATTAAGTCATACAGATGCTTTTTTATGTAGGGGCTCCCAAATTACAAAATTTCATAGACAAATAAAAAACGTGGTGTCAGAAGAAGAAAATGGCACCAATTCTGTCTACCAACAGATGGGAACAGGGATCACTTGTACTTAACAATTAATGGATATGGAAAAGCTTTTCAGAATCTGAGAAAAGCTTCTAGCTTCTATATCACAACACAGTTCATTTAGCTCCACAACACAAAAAAGATAGTTAATTTTAAACCAAACTAAAAGAATATATAAATTGAATCGTTGCGATGTCAATGTGCTTTGAAGAATATCTTATTTTTCAAATAAAGATGGAGTCCTCAAAAAACAGACTGGTGGCTGGGCATGGTGGCTCATGCCTGTAATCCCAGCACTTTGGAAGGCCAAGGCAGGAGGATCGCTTGAGCCCAGGAGTTTGAGACCAGCCTGAGCAACACACTAAGACCTGTCTCAATTTTTTAAAATAAAAAATAAATTTTAAAAAACCCAAAACAAAACAGACTGGTGACTCTGATAGTCTTGTCTGGGGACAAGACTAATAAACTAGTAAAGAGATGATTTACTAATAACACCCAATATAAGTGCACAGAGAACAAGCATTTAACCCCACTTACAATAAACACGTATCAGGGAAATAAATACTCTTACTGAACCTAGGGTCCTTCTACTTGGAAACTCCAATTAGGTGTTATTTACCAAACCAGAGGCTTTTCTCGTATCTGAGACAAAATATCTAAAAATCTATCCATTTTTACATGTATCTAGGCAACTTTCATGAAACTTTTTTGGGGGAAAATATGAGGAGAAAAAATTGGCAAGATGCAAGATCATTACAGTTATGATTAATCAGTGATCAAAGCAAGGCAGAGATTTTCCAACTGGAGGTGTGACCACCCTTGGAATACCTCAAAATCTCTGGAGGGTTGGTAAAAAGGGAGTACAAGTCATTCTCCTTCCTTTGACTATTAAGGTCCCACTATGGTAAGCACTATCTTAGGTGCTAGGGATATAGAGTTAAGTGACAGAGACAGTCTGACTTCATGGAGCTTACATTCTATTTGAGGGGAAACAAATAACAAGAATCATGTCTATGAACAAAGTTAGATGATGTACTAAAATAGCAATGCTCCCCATTACTATGGGGGGCTACTTGGGATGAGCTGGTCAGAGAAGACCTTTCTGAAGAGGATACAATTAAACTGGATCTCAAGAGGGAGAAGCAAATGAATCTTAGGAAAAGGCAAAAAGTAATGTTCCAGGTTGTACAGAAGATTTAGAAAGCAGATCTTTAAAGTATTTATTTATTTATATGCCACTGTTAATCACAGGGAAGTTCATGGTAACAGGGAACAGGAACAGAGTATGGCACACAGGTCTGAGTCTTAGCTTTGTATACAGTATCTAAAAATGAGTCTGCCTATTTAACTTGTCAACAATCTAAATATGTATAAAAAGTATGATAATTAATTTTGTAAAATATCCCAACTAAAAAGCATAGTTAATTCACGAGATCAAGATTCAAAAGTATTAACAGACCAGATAAAATTTAAAAGAAACAAATATGAAGTCCTATAGTTACATATCCAAGACAATAAATTTACAAATAAGTAGGTATGAGCAGAGAATCAGACAATTTAAAAATTTAAGTAGTCAAGAGTAATGGTTACAGTATGGCACAACTGAGAAAAACTTATATTGTCTAAAACTAACTCAAAGAGGACACAGTATAAATAAAGCAGGAATTCTCTACTGAAGGCTGGTTTTAAAAGCAAACCACTGCTCTCCAAAACACATTCTATGTACTAACACATTTCAAAAGGAATATGAGAAAATTAGACATAAGTCCATCCTGGCTAACATGGTGACACTCCGTCTCTACTAAAAAAAATACAAAAAACTAGCCAGGCGAGGTGGCGGGCGCCTGTAGTCCCAGCTACTCGGCAGGCTGAGGCAGGAGAATGGCGTAAACCCGGGAGGTGGAGCTTGCAGTGAGCTGAGATCCCGCCACTGCACTCCAGCCTGGGTGACAGAGCGAGACCTCGTCTCAAAAAAAAAAAAAAAAAAGAAAAAGAAAATTAGACATAAGTATCTCAAAACCAGGCTATACAAAAAAGCCAGGGAACAGAAATAAATAGAGAAGACAAAAATAAGACTGAACCAACTTCAATCAACTGAGGAATTTTTCATAAAGCAGCAGAAATAGATTTGTTTTATTATGGGGCCAAATAAACAAATATTATTATTTGTTTTATTACGAGTCAGACTTTTAACTCTCTGAATACTTGTTCTTTTTTTGAGACAGAGTCTCACTTTGTCACCTAGGCTGGAGTGCAGTGGCATGATCATGGCTCACTGTAGCCTCCACCTCCCAGCTCAAGCGATCCTCCCACCTAAGCACCCCTCCCTGACAAGTACCTGGGACTACAGTCACCCACCACCATTTCCAGCTAATTTTTTTTTTTTTTTTTAAATAGAGACAAAGGGTGCTATCTTGCCCAGGCTGGTCTCAAACTCCTGAGCTTGATTGATCCTCCCACTTCAGCCCCCCAATGCTGGACTACAGGCATGAGCAACTGCACCTGATCAGGAAAATATTTTCAATAATCAAAGTTTTCCGAAGGTAGAACAAACATCCTCAGAGTTAGTGAGTTCCCAGATAAGTGAGGTGTTCAAACACTGTTTTGACAACCCTTTTACTAGGATATTAAGGAAAGAATTCAACCATGAGGTAGTTTTTTTCTTCCTTCGGACTCTTAGATGTTGTGACTATTAAAACAACAACAACAACAACAAAAAACCAACAATGTTTCTGGCCACAGAGGCTAATGCCAGTAATTCCAGCACTTTGGGGGGCCAAGGTGGGAGGATCGCTTGAGCCTAGGTATTCCAGACCAGCCTGGGTAACATAAGAAGACCTCATCTCTACAAAAAGTAAAAAAAAAAAAAAAAAAAAAAAAAAAATTATCCAGGCATGGTGGCCCATGCTTATAGTCCCAGCTCCTCAGGAGACAGAGGCAGGGGGATCACTTGAGCTCTGCAGGTCAAAGCTGCAGTAAGCTGTGATCATGCCACTGCATTCCAGCCTGGGTGACAGAGCTAGACCCTGTCTCAAAAGTAAAAACAAACAGAAAATGTTTTTCTGTAAAACTATATTACCTTCGGTTCTTAATTACATAATGGAATGAATGCGAATGTATAAATTCTGCCCTCAAAGTTATCCTTTGGGAAATAATGAGGACGCATCAGTTATAAAAGTCCTCATCATGCTTAGTGGTATTAAAGTACTGTACTGTTACTGAGTATGCTGAGATTTTTCCAGGCTCCAATCCTTACCTCCAATTCATTAGTCTGGTTTAACAAGCTAAGGAGTTTTTTCAGTGACAATAAACAAAAAGTAAAGCTTTCTATGAATGTGTAGAAATTCAAATTTAAAAGGTGCTCATTAAACAACAATTATTAAGAAAATGCAGAAAAACTTAAATATTCCTAAGAAAGAATTCCAGAAAACATGATAGGAATGAAAGAAGCTAACAGCAGAAGGAGGCTGTCATTGTCTTTGATATGCCAGGAAGTAGGTTTCTGAAATTAACAATTTCTAAACATCAATCATGCCAACAACTTCCTTACTATTTTATTTCCACAGCTATAGCTGTTCACACGCTAAATTTTATTTCATAAAATGCAAGATGTCACAGTTGGAAAGGCTTTTTGATCCACTGTAGTTCTCAAACTAGACCTGGGGAACTTTTACATAATATTGATGGAAGCTTTTTAAAAAGTCCCAATTCCTACCTCCCAAAGACTAACTCAATTGTAAAAGCCTTCCAGGTACTTTTAATGTGCAGTGTTGAGAACCACTCACTGATCTAGTTTTAATCCCATTCTTTGCACAGAAAGAATGACTTGCTCAGGGTGCTTATCAGAAAATGTCGTTAGACTGATTCCTAGTCTAATATAGCTTCCACTTTACCATGCTAGTTCCCGTTATTTCAGTACTAACTTACCTTCCAATATTTTTCAGTAAGTCATTCCCCACAACATCTAAAAAAGCTCACAGCAGAGATTCAAAGCAGCTGTCTACTTTCTTTCTTTTGTATCTCCTTTATCTTACTTTCATCAGTTCCCTGATCAACTACATTTCCAATCTGTATTCAACAAAAACTTAAAAGTAACACATAAATTTTGCCGCACTGTTTTTAACCTAAACATCTGTCTCTATTGCAAGAATTCTAGGCTCCCTGCCTCCACATCTTTAAAGTTACATCACACAACCAACCAAAGGAAGAAAAGCAACTATGTAGACCAAGAACAAAATGAACACAAGAAAAGATACAATTTTACCACTATAGTAGAGGTGGACTTCTTGGTGAGAGTAGCCTTTTGGGGAAGGCATGCCATGGGGAAGATTCATGAGAGGGGTAAGATTAACTCACTAAAATGTGACTTCCATAGAGCAAGAATTCTTCTGTTTTATCTACTATGTGCCTATGCTGAACAAATCAAACTGAAAAAAGGGCAAAGAAGAACATTTGGCACAGGGGGGCTTATTAACAAGCCAGAGTGTTCAAGATGAATTACAGGACAAAACTAATCTGAGTTCCTGGAGGGGAGGCTCTCCTTAGCCTCTCCTTGGATTATCTCCTTTGCTTGGACTCCTTACCTTCTTAAGTGTTTTGAGCTACTCTTCTTTTTTCCTCCAAGAGGCAGGGCTTGTCATAGTCTAGCCTGCCTCACCACAAGCCCTAGGACCAAGGGCCTAATTGTAACAAAGAAGGCTTTTTTGTATGTGGAATATCTTCAGTGGTTATCTCTTCAGGGACCTAGTGGGACAGTAGGTATAGCCAAGGCAGATTTTCAGAATACTAGGCATCTATGTTCCTCTGTCCATACCAT